AAAGTTTCGTTGGAACGAATCTACGGAAAATTAACTAACGAACGAAGACGTAACAATATATATATATGTATAGACACACACATTATGTTAAAAGTAAGTGGAATGTGTGCTGTTCGTTTATTGTCGAATTTATCGCTAACAAGTCATAGACACTTACAGTAGAAGAATCCTAAGCCCAACAAACACATATATTTACATTACTATAAATACTACTAAAAAGTAGTTTCCGACATTTTGCGAGCCACCCAGGATTACACAGTGATAAACGGCAGTAGAAGAAAACGTGAACAACAGCAGAAATAAATAGGCCTATATACGCACAACTGTAGTAGTAGCACAAATAGTGTAGAGATTACAATCACACTATATAACCATGTCAAATTTTGATAAATGGATAGAAAGAGGAGAGTGTCTCGGGTTAAAAGACAGTGAACTATGAAAGTTTGTTAAACAATAACAAGAACTAGAGAGAGAAGAGCAGCAACAGAGAAGAGTGGAAGAGAGATTGAAAGGAGAGAAAGGAAAGACTGGAAATATATCGAGAGAGAATAGGAGCACAGATTGAAAAAGAGGAACAATAGACAGAGGGCAGAGTAGAAATAGAAAGAATAAGAGCACAAATTAAGATTCCAAAGCTCACCCAACTGAAGGAAGAAGGACCCAAGAATGACAATGGAATCAGGGCCAGCCAACCCAAGCTGCTCAAATTTGATGAACAGAAAGATGACAAGGATACTTTTCTGGAGAGATATGAAAGATTTGCCCACAGTCAGAACTGGGACAAAGGCAACTAGGCAGTTTGTCTCAGCCTACTTCTCAAAGGAAAAGGCCTACAAGAATATGCAGGCATGACATCAGAAGATGTCATGGACTATGGCAAATTAAAAGAGGCTTTACTGAAATGATGTAAACATACTTAAAAATGTTTTTGCAGGAAGTTCAGAAAAGTCAAACCTGATGCTGGAGAAACTGTATTTCAGTTTGTGACATGTCTATGACGAACTTCGCCATGTGGACTGACATAACCAACTGTGAAAATAGTTTTGAGGAACTGGTAGATCTACTAATACCAGAACACTTAGTGATCACGTGTTCAACTGTGTCAGGAACTTACGTTATATATATTAATGTAAATATATGAGTGTGTTTTGGACTAAGGATTCTTCTACAGTAGGTGTCTATGACTTGTTGACAGTAAATTCGACAATAAACAAATAGCATGCACTCCACTTATTTTTAAAATAATATATATTAAAAACAAGTTGAATGTATATACAATAGCTCCTTACACCATGGAGGTCATAGCTATATCTTAAACACTATATAGTTCTCTTCTTGTTGTTAAAAGTCCACTTAAGCTTATTCAATTGCTTTAGAATTCAGTTGACAAGCCAAACTATTTTTCTCTATTTCTATTACCAGACTATCCTTGTATAGTTCACTTACATTGTTGTTGAGTTACCACTGTTGTATCCTGTATTTAAAAAATCGTCTGCTCCTTTTTCGTATTTCCAACAATCCTCTGCCTTTTGTCAAAGTCCACTAAGGCTGGTTCAATAATTTTAGAACACCCTTTGAGCAGACAACTTTTTCTCCTTACCTTTTACGAAATTGTTAATCTTACTCTAACATATCAATCTTTAGGCCTTTCACTCCCATGATGATTAACCTTGCGATTAAATCTTCTCTGACTGAACTTCTCCTTCCCACGAATTTACTTTACTTTCTTCCACTCTTTTTTTTTCTTTTCGTTTGCTTGCCACTATTTATACGTCTATCACTTGAGCCTTCTAGAAATCTGTAGATCCTCGATATCAATGGATTGTACGTGATGTTGGATAGCCTCGACATGAATGAATTATAAACACAATGTATGATTCTTACAGAGTTATGTAACCAAAGTTGTCATAACTATCACCTTTAAAATACTTACTTTTAACTCTCTTGTTATGAAAAACTAAACAGTCTTGAAATATTCACTCACAGAATAAATTAATTAATAATACCTACACTAAACAGTCTTTTATATCTGACAAACTGACATGTCACTGTTCCTAAAGGAGCGAGCACCAAAAGATGTCGAAGAGATGGTCAAGCTGGCAGAAGAGCATATGAAAGTCTATGGAGGGAGTACAACTGGCAAGTTCAAAAATATCCAGTTAACTTCGAAACCAGTGATGGCTCACCAGAAGCAAGGGTCTACAAAAGATGACAGGAGGTTAACAGACAGAAGGGAGAAGAGATCCTATGTTTGCTATAAAATGAGACACATTCCAAAGGAGTGCAATCCATTATTAGCAAGCAACAGCAGAAATCTCAACATAAAGCAGCTGGAGCTATTTACAAAGATAGTGTGAGTATGATACACAAGAAAAGAATGACTGGCACCATGAATGCTACAGCCAGAAGAAACAGAATAAAGAAAATACATCAGATTCACCACAAGAAGGAAGTGCCAATTCTATGATTGATCAGTGCATGACTAATGGTCGGCTCAAGTTAGCAAATGTATCAACAGTGCCAGTAATGCTTGGAGCATTTGACAAAAATCAAAAGGGGATACCAGATCAGAACATGGCAGTAAGTGAAGGATATCTCGGGGACAAGAAATTTAAGGTTCTACGAAACATTGAGTGAAGTAGTTCAGCAGTCAGAACCAGTCTAGTATCTGATGACCAGATGGCGGGCAAAGTACATCTGCCTGTGCTAATTGATGGGACAGTGAGGAAGTTTCCCATAACAAAAAAAGGTGGATACTCCATATTATGTAGGAGACCTTGAGGCTATGTGTATCTAGGCACCAATAGACGACTTGGTGATTGGAAACATACCAGGTTGTAGAAATTTGGAAGTGCTATATAAAAAGAAGATTGATGAAGCATCTGCAGTCACCACCAGAGCTCAAGAAAAGAAGAGCATATAAGACATCAAGCCCCTGCAAGAGTCAAAAGGTGACATCTCAAATGTAAATTTGCATGGACTGAAGGAAGCACTGAAGAAAGACCATTCACTGCAGAAACTTTGGGACAAGGTGCAGGAGAAAGTCGAGTACTAGACAAAAGGGAAAGATACCTATAGAATAAAGGACCAGAAGGGAGTGCTATACCAGATCTATCAAGGCAGTTATAATGGGGAAATTACATAGTACCAATAGAATATCAGACTCATGTGACAAAGTTGGCTCATGAGTCTATTATGGGAGGACATCTAGGAACAAAATAAATAGCAGACAGAATCACCAGTAACTTCCATTGGCCGGGAGTCATTGGAGATGTGTGTAGATTCTCCATGTCATGTGACATCTGCCAAAGAACAATACGTAGAGGGAAGGTAGCCAAGGTGCCATTGGAAGAGATGCCTCTCATAGAAGAACCATTGAGTAGAGTAGCTATAGACTTGATTGGACCACTAGTGCCTGTTTCTGACAAGAGCAACTAGTGTGTGCTGACAGTAGTCAACTATGCAACACATTATCCAGAAGCAATAGCACTGGTAAAGATACAGAGAGAGTTGCAGAAGCTCTCTTGGAGGTTATTTGCAGAGTAAGCTTTCCAAGAGAAATCCTGAGTGACAGAGGGACCCAGTTTACTTCAGAACAGATGCAGGAAGTGTGCAGACTCATCAATGCTCGGTAGCTCTTTACCACATCATACAATCCTAGATGTAATGGACTTTGTGAGAGAGTCAATGGAGTTTTAAAGAGTATGCTAAAGAAGATGTGCAAAGGTAGACCACGTGATTGGGACAGGTACTTTCAGGTTGTTTTGCTTACCAAGAAGTCCCACAAGCAAATACAGGTTTTTCACACTTCAAGTTACTATATGGAAGAACAATATGAGGTCTTATACAAATATTGAAAAAGCTATGGACGGGATAAGAAGAATCAGAAGTAAGGAACACATATCAGTATGTGTTAGACCTCAGAAACCGACTGGAGGAGAACTGTCAACTCGCTCGACAGAGCTTGTATGCAGCTCAAGGCAGTCAGAAGCATTTCTATGACAATAAGGCCAAGGATTGATGTTTCAAGGTCGGACAGAAGGTCTTATTTCTGCTGCACACAGACCACAACAAACTCACACTGCAGTGGAAACGACCTTTTGAAGTACAGGAAATACTCAACAGAATGGACTACAGGTGAATGTGAACAGGATGACCTAATGGGTGCAGCTACTGAAACAGAGATGGGTGTTGCAGGAGTGGCCATTATAGATGCAGAACCAGAAGACAGTGACTTTGTCTTAGAAGATGAGGGCCTACTAGACCTAAAACTTCTGGGTGGACATGAGACATATAAAGATGTCAACATCAGTGAAGAACTGACTGGCAAGCAGAAAAAAGAGCTACGAGAACTACTGTGCCAGTATGCAGATATCTTCCTGGATAGACCAGGAAAAACAGACCTTGTGCAACACAAGATCAAGACCACAACCAAGGATTTGGTCAAAGTGAAACCCTATCAGATGCCTTATGCAATGAGAGACTTGATAAAACACGAAGTTGAGGCAGTGTTGGAGCCTTCAAATTCAGCCTACTGTTCACCAGTTGTAATTGTGCAGAAGAAGGATGGATCACACTGTTTCTGCATAGACTTCTGGAAGCTGAATCTCGTGACAAAGTTCGACTCCGAACCTATGGGCACCCCGAAGAGGCCATCATGACAAAACTAGATGGGGCCAGGTTCTTTTCAAAGATCGATCTCAGTAAATGTTATTGGCAAGAAAATACAGCAATAGTGATACCAGATGGTTGTTAGCAATTTAAGCAGATGCCATTTGAGTTAGTCTGCACGATAAAGAGAATGTTGCACAACACCACCAACATCGAGCACTATGTGAATGACATTATGACACACTGCAAGACGGGAAAGCCACCTGAAGAAGCTTAGAGAGGTGTTTCTGAGAGTGAGGGCAACAGGTCTCACCATCAGACCATCCAAGTGCTATATCAGATAATCTGTGCTGGAGTTTGGACACAAGGTGGTGAACTGGCAGATAGCCATGGAAAAGGAGAAGGTAATCCATATACAAGATACAACAGCTCTGACGACCAAGCAACAAGTCAGGTCCTTCCTAGGTTTAGTGGGATACTACAGGAAATTCATCTCATACTATGCTGAAGTTACTGCTCTATTGACTGACATGACCAAGAAAGACTTGCCCAATAAGGTGAAATGGGAACAACCACACCAGGTGGCATTTCAGAAATTAAAGAACATGTTGGAAAGTTCACAAATTCTTAGGATGCCAGACTTCAACAATACATTCATTGTTCAGGCTGATGTTTTAGACACTGAAATTGGGGCAGTACTCGTACAAGAACATGAAGACGGGCTTCGGGGATTCGAACCCACGACCCACAGATTGCGAGTCGAGCGTCCTAACCACCTGGCCATGCCGCCCCCCCCCCCATTGATGTCGAGGCTGTGGAGATTTCTAGAGGCCTAAGTGATAAGCATATAAACAGCTGCGACTAGACAAGCAGACATAGAGTAAAAGTAAAGTCACCTGAAAGAAAAGTTTGGTCAGAGAAAAGTTATAAAACGTAAAGTCAACTGTAATGGGAGTGAATGGCCTAATGGTTGATTGATATGTTAAAATGAGATTAACAGTTTGAAAGAGATAAGGAGAATAATTTGTTTTGTCGAAGTTTTGTTTTGTTCTAAAGTAATTGAATCCGCCTGTGTAGACTCTGACAAAGGCAGGCGATTATTGGAAGAACAAAAAGCAGACAATTATTGGAAGTTCAGGATACAAATGCCTTAATTCATGCGACAGAATAAGTGAAATATACACGGATACTATTGCGATAAAAATAGAGAAAAATCGTTCGGCTTGTTAACTGGATTCTAAAGTAATTGAATTGGCCTAAGAGGACTTTTGACAACAAGAAGAGAACTGTATAGTGTTTAAGATATAACTATGATCTCTATAGTGTAAAAAATTTTAAACACACATATAACTTGTTTTAAATACTATCCCCCAGTGTCACAGTGGTATGTCTGCAGACTTACAATGCTAGAAAACGGTTTTCAAAGAAAAAGAAATTTTCTAATATACATATTATTTTAAAACAAATGGAGTGCATGCTGTTTGTTTATTGTCGAATTTATCACCAACAAGTCACAGAAACCTACTGTAAAAGAATCCTTAGCCCAAAACACATCCATATACTTACATTAATATAAATACTACTAAAAAGTAGTGTCCGACAATGAATAGATTATGCATATCAGTAGTATTTAGGGTACAGCAACTGAATAAATAAATGTCTCACAGGTATAGAGTAATTAAAATAATCAAGAGGAACATAATAAATCATGTTGGCCATATAATTCTGTTTTATATCTTAGTGACAAGAGAGATATACGTGTAAGTAATGTAGGCATATGTTCTATATATTTATTACTTTTAATTTCAGGTGCGAAGATTGGTTTCTAAAGTAGAGAGAGCTGATGTTCAAGAAACGAAGTTAATAATTTCCGATGAACAAAAGCTAATTCTACTGATACCAAAGGAAGCTGCTATCTCTGGAGAAAAATTTTATACAGTGGAGACAGTAACAAATCCAGGAAGACAGACATATTCCCAACTTTCGTTTACAAAGGACAACCCAAAATCCATAGAAAACGTAGCAGTAACTGATAAAGATGTGAAATTAAATGGCAGTGGAAATATCTTCTCTGTATTGAAAGATAAAACTTTACAAAATCAGAAAAAATCAAAGGCAGCAAAGTTTAAATTAGATCTTCTTTCGATGTTCAATGACGCACGTTTATCTGAAAGTAGAAATAGCCCATGGTTTAAAATATTACCCTCTATACTGGAATCACCACAAAACAGTGAATTGATCAAAGAGGTAAAAGGTGAAGACTCTCTAACGAAGCGTTCGATTACAGCAGCAGATCGATTACGGAAATTTCAGAACAAAAGAAATAGAAGAAATACTGATTCTGTGAATGAAAAAGTGACTGAAAATACAACTTCTGTCAACAGTAAAGAGTTAGGTGAGATTAACAACTCTAGACCAAGTTTAGGTAGCGCAAAAAATATTGATTCTGAAATCTTAAGACACCTAAAACCCAACCCAAATATGAATATCAGTATAGAAGTTTTACACGAAGAAGCAGTTACAGAACCAAATGATCTTTGGGACGAAGAACCAATGAGTATGGACAAAGATTTTTGGAATGTAGAGCCGAACACACAGGAAATGAATCTTTGGAATTTGCAGAACTGGCCAGAAATCAGTGGTATTTTTAATCAAGACTCATTACTCATTGAACCCAATAAGACAGATTCAATTTTCACAATTCCAGGCTCTTACGGTTCCGTTTTTGATTTCAAAAATGAAGGAGATATTATGGGATTCACAGGTGAAGAATCGGGAGAGAGCAATTGGGATATTACCCATTTCAATGGAGGCGAAGAAACCGACGTCATTTCATTACAAGAATCTAGTGGAGAAGGGGGTGTTTTGTTTGGTAGGTTATGTTATGACCTTGTGGATTGTTTAAGTGATTTTAATAAGAATAAAGGCTAATGTCTCAGGTAAATCATCGTGAATTTGTGTTGCAGGATTAAAATTCAGGGAATTTACTCCAGAGTCAAGATTTCACTCATTTACCAGCACTACTAGCAATAAAGCATTTAATGACAATACAGAAATAGAAGACTACGCAATATGTTTTTTTAAAATACTAAAATATATATATACAAAGCCCAATTTAGTAACCATTATCCGATTCATTAGTTGTCGCCGGGTTAACGGACTAACTCGAAGACAATTGATTAATCGGATAATATATTGGTTTCATGTTTTTTAAGCATCTAAAACAATGTGTCTGCTGAGTAATCCAGAAGAATAATATAGTAGCATCAATTGTACATATTTTTCAAAAGCTATCATGAATCACGATAGTGCTTCATAATAGGGATCGCAAGGAATTGCACAAAATCCTATTAGAACGTTTGGGCAAAAAGCACTTTAAATAGTAAAGATTCAGTCCAAACAACACTTGAAAATATTTAATATTGACTGCTAAGGCTGTACACATATAAAAGTGCACAAAAAATCACGTATGTTAGACTTACAAGGAAAATAAAATCCACTCAAAACGGCCCGTTTGTAATATTATTATTATTAGCCCCCTCCCCCAGTGGCACAGCGGTATGTCTGCGGACTTACAATGCTAGAAACCGGGTTTAGATACCCGTGGTGGGCAGAGGACAGATAGCCCATTGTGCTTAATTCCAAACAAACAAGTAAATCGTATTATTATCACTCTCTTGCCAGCCTACAACAAAAACTGCTTGGTATATTGTATCCAAACCTTTTGTAGAATACTAAATAAGGTACTGTGAAGGTTGTAAAGGTATTGAAAAGACGATTTGTTTCTTCTATATTTTACATAAGCTAAAAACACCAAAATTCTAGTTCAAACGATGTTATCATTACCCCTATCATATATCAATTCGACCGACCTCGTAATGAGAGTCTGTAATAATCAAGACATGTTTTGACCGAACTTGGTTTTCCTTGTGCGTAAATCATAGGCTCTTAGTTACGCTACATTGATGCCTACCCAGACATGACTATAATAAATAAACTGCATACCAACAGTCAGGAATATCTAACTTCCAACTGCAGTAATATTAAAGTCAAATATGCATTTTACAATGTAACATTAAATTTTAATATTGGAAGTCATGTAGGGATGATTTATATATAGCTGTATTATCCTTATATTCTTGTTTGCATTCTTTTTGGAACTGCCTTCCCTACATCATTTACAAAATGTTTTTTATTACTTATTTTGTGACGTTTTTTACCCTGGCTGAAAATTAGTATATTCTATGATTGTTTATAATAAAATTTAATATAATGTGTATTAATTTTTTTATACTCCTTCACTTTATATATGATAAGGGTTGACTCCTTAAAGGCACCGATTGTATAGTGTACAAATCATTGAATATTCTACATTTTACAGTCATCCAATGTTCATCTATTATTGGCTGGTAATTCTTGTTTTACCCTGTACTTAAGCTTTGTAAAGGAACACCAGGTTTCTGTAAAACAACTAACTTCAAGGGTAGTGATAACATCGTTTATTCTAGAATTATGATATTTTTGTTTAATTACTGCTAGTTATTACGACTAAGCGATGTCCAGAAACACATATTCGATTTAGATTTAGATTGACGTTAGTGATAAAGTACCTGTGGAGTCATCTCGACTAAAACAAGAAAAAGAAAAATGAACAATTTGGTAGGTTGGTCACTTTCTGGTTTCTTATCATAGTGACGATTTATTGTCTTGTTTTTGGGCTTGTTGGGTAGAGAAAAAATTAATGTGAGTGGCAATCATCTTTTAAAGCAAAACTCTGTCATTGTTGATTTTTAGCGTGCACATTTGTATTATGCCTGTTGATTACCTTGGCCATCCCTTTATATAGTCTATTGACTCTATGATACACTTCGCTACACATCATTAAAGCTTATCTGGTTGGTTATCCAGTTATACAAGAGTGGAACTAATAAGGCCGAGCAGTGAAACTAGTGTTAATAGCTTATTTTCTTGTCTGCCTGATTTTCTACACTCCTCGTTTATACCCTCTAGAAAGAAGATTTAAAAATCGATTAGGTATTGTAGCATGTACAAAATCTATCCATATGTACATATTTCAATTCATAAGTTTGTTTAAAATTTCATCTCAGGTTTTTCTTTTTAACTACATGTTCCAAACAGACAGGGTGTACTCAGCTTTGATATACGCTAACCTTGTTCTTAACGTTTGTCTCTCCACTTTCGTATGCAAGCTTGTAATTTGTGTATCTTGATGTCTGGTTTATTTGCTGGATAACTTTTATAGAGAGAATGTCTAACTGGTTGGATATATTTATCTTAAACGTGATGTTTTACTGAGAGTTAATCGCACTTTATAAGAACGATGTCAAGATCCAGTGCGCACTTGAAACTTCAAGGACCCCCGTTAATTGTTCTCATTCACATGTCTCTGGTCATGCACTGTTGCCCCACACCACAATGTGGCCGGATGGGATTGCTTTAATTGTAGTTTTTTTGGATATCATTGTACAAAAATAATCATTGATTTTGACATGTTGCTGGAAATTTATAAACTTTTGGCTTCTAAACCTTCCTCGACTTCAGATGTTTGTTTAGCAGTACCAGGAGATATCTATGCAGCTTCATCAAAATGGGTTTATGTGTTAGAAGTTTCTCACTACATTGTTATAAGAGTGACGTTCAAGTCCCAGGATTCAATTAGGATAGCTCAAAAGTCAACGATGTTGACTTGTTTGCTTCTATCTAGTCTGTCACTTCAAAATTATGGACGGCTAGCGCAGATAGCCTTCAAGTTGCTTTGTGCGAAAACTCAACAAACAAGCCATCTCTGTGTGGATGAGGATGTTGCTCTGGTTAGGGTTAAGGTATGATTTCAGAGCCTGCTGCTGTCCTAATCGCTCTGCTGTGTGTGTTTTTCGACTTCCAAAAGGAAGAGTGAACACCTCCATTTTCGAAATGTTTTGTTTGTCGGTTCTCCATAGTTTAATAATCTCGCTATATGAAAAACATCTTCTGTCATGAGGCTACCCATGGTGGCGTTACAAAGTCGAATGGTTAGGAATCCCTAGTAACTAAATATATTTAAATACTTTTAACAACAGAACAGAGCTTATTAAGCTCTCTGTCGTGGCTGTTCAACAATTTTGCCAGATAGACAAGTTAATAATATTTTCTTTCGAGGTTTTCTCTTTTTTTTTTGTAATAGCTTTTACACTTTCAATCATTTTATCTAAATTCTTCAGCGAAGCTCATCTTTACAGGTAGTTGTGTGCATTCACTAACACACAGATATTGCGGTTAACTGTCGCTAATAACATGTTAGTTAAACACCACATTCTTCTCCTTCTCTCTTATCTTCAATAAATTGCTCATTTTATGAGAAGAAAAAGTTCCATTTTCTATATAGATGTACTGAAGAGCAAAATAATATAACTATATGTATAATTTTAATTTTATAAATGGCAATTAATTTCAGAACAAATATTATTTCGCTCTACTAATTTCTGCCCCAAAAATATGAAAAACAGAATATTAGAGGTCAATGAAGCTCCTAAAGAAACTTTGTACCTCGTAAATTCATATTTCTATTGTAGTGAAAATTTTTCCCAGAAAGTGTAAGGAATTGATGTGTGTGTGTATATATGCAACACAATGGAAAATCGACACTATTAACAGAATTCACACCGTTAAAATTTTCATAATCAATACAACAGGACCACAAGAAAACATTAAATCGTGTGCTTGAGTATTTGCGCTCCTTAACCATATTTAAATTTTGTATCTTCTCTACTTCTCCAAGATTTTTCAATCGTTCACAGCTTCCTGGCATTTTTTCTATATGAAATGATAATTATTTGATTTTTCCAGGACTTCCTATGATAATTAACTTGTGGCAATAGCAACAAGAAGCGAAAATTACCGTATAGTTAGTGAAACCATTTCCATGTCTTAAACTCACGTAGGACAGGTTTTCTGTCGCACAAATGGATGATAATGTTTTCACACACGAGATGATGCCAGTTCATCACAGTTTAACTCCCAGCTGTTAGCTGATACCGATTTTGCAACAGGATAGACTGCATCAAATTTTGAGTAGAGTATCTTGATCAAGGCCACAACGATTAAATGCGGGTAAGCTTCGAACTGCCCCCCAGTGGCACAGCGGTATGTTTGCGGACCTACAACGCTAGAAACCGGGTTTCGATACCCGTGGTGGGCAGAGCACAGATAGTCCATAGTGTAGCTTTGTGCTTAACTTCAAACAAACAAATAAGCTTCGAACCTGCAACCTTTCGGCTGAAAGTCCAAAGAATTAACCTCTAGATCTCGCTGGCCCTACTATAAATTACAACAGCGTCATTTGCTAGGACTTTGCAAGGTATAATATAATCACACACCAGATTATCCAAGTTTTCTTCACAAACGAATGAAAATACAGTGCAGAAAAAGCTCTGTGTGTTGACACAACTTGCTCCACTCAGACATTTTCTGAAATAACGCCACCAATAAACTATAAAATGCTAATTCCCTGTCTTCACTCCTTCTTGTTTCATGTTACCAGAGACATCTAAATATCTTCCTACCATAATGTCGACTTAGCAATTTAATACAATTTATGCTTGTTTCACATCTGCAATGTTATGGGTATTCTTTAGGCGTTATCACTGTTATTAAGGGAACATGTAGGCAATTTTATGGTGTTTTATTTTTTCAATGAAAAGGTGATGAATTAAATAAATTTTATCAATAAATATAGAAAAAAGAATATAATAACAGAATGGAAAAAAAACATCCTTTATTGTTTTGTTACTTTTTCACAACTTATAGTTGTTTAGACAGAAGTGCATAAGAAGTTAGAAATGATCAGTTTCTTTATGTGTTCGTAAACATTTCTTACTGGTGTTTACTGTTAACGTACATTTGTTTAAATAACAACCAAAATAAAAGACGATTAATGTGTACTACACATTTGTTGCCCCCCAGTGGCACAGCGTATGTCTGCAGACTTACAAGGCTAGAAACCAGGTTTCGATACCCGTGGTGGGCAGAGCACAGATAGACCATAGTGTAGCTTTGTG